GCTCTTCCGGAACTCCCGCCTGGTGCAGTTCCACTTCACCAAGGACCTGGAGACACTGAAGAGCCTGTGCCGGATCATGGACAACGGCTTTGTGAGTGGGCTGGCGGGGCCCAGGGCCGGGCTGATGGTGGGACAGACAGAGCCAGAGCCACTCAGTGTTTAAAAACTGAAATGAGATTAAGAGTGGACGATTCCCCAAAACTGGCCAGGCGTGATGGTAGCCGTGGGGAAGGCGTGTTGGCTCTGTGCCTGGACATTGGCTCCGCTGGGGCTCTGGGCCATCCTGACCCCATTTTACAGATGGGGAAACTGAGGCTCGGAGGCTGCGCCGGCAAGTGCTGGGCGGGAACTTGGACCAAGTCTGGTTCGGGACCCCGGGGCTGTCTGGGTTTACTCAGCTGAGGAGGCTGACATCACCCCATGCGCCGACTCTGCTCCCAGGTTCTTACCTGCCACCTTCCTCTTGCTCCTTTCCCCGGGGACAGGGTGGAAAACCTGAGGCTTCCAAAGGCCCTCTCCAGGCAGGGCATCTGTCTGCCTCCAGCCCGAGCGAGCTCTGAAAGCCCCCGGTGCTCATCTGCTGGTGGGCCTTGGCCAGTTCTCCCCTCTCCGCGGGCCTTGGTCTCTCCATCTGTGAAGTGAGGAGGTCGGCCCTCGTGCTTCTGAAGCCGCAGTTGTGTGTGTCCGCTGTACCAGGTCATAGCTGTCCTCGAATTAGCTTAATGTTTCTTTTTAAGTCAGCCGAAGTCGTCACAGCTGTGCCATTGTGCATTTGAGGGGCTGGTTATTTTGTTTTAGCGTTAAAGAAGAGTTTCAAAGCAGGATTCCCTCAGGGAAAGTAAGGCCTCAAGGACCACGGCCGGTACTCCCTCGGCGCACTCGGGCTTCCCTCATGCTGTTGGCTCGGGGGTGCTGTGAGGGCACACAGGCCCGAGGGCTGGCTCTGGGGGCCTGCGAGTCCTCGAGCTCTCAGCCTGGGTTTGCTCACCTGTAAGATGGGGACGGTGACCCCTGGGCCCTGGAGAGAGGATCCTGTGAAAGGCGTCAGGGAGCAATTGGTGCCCGTCGGCACTGCAGTCGCTGTGACGCTGAGCCACATCCCAGGCCGTGGTGACGGTGGCATCGCCGTGGATCAGCGCCGCCCAGCCTCCCCGCCCTTGGCTGGCCCGGGGGTCACAGAGTGGACGGCGCCCGGGTGCCCGGCCTCCTGGGGCCAGATTGGCCCCTGGTGTTTCTCCCCTGCCGCGGCCCTCGTGTGTGGTCGCGGTCGCGGCCGTGGCTGGTCCCGTGGGCATCCTGGGTACTGGCTGGCCGGCGTGGGGGCCACAGTCTCGCTGGAGCTCGTCGAGCAGCCTCCTGGGCTCAGCTGTAGAGCCCGCTGGTCCTTGCGCAGGCACCTCTGGTGTCCTGTGGGAGTGGTGACAGGGCTGGGAAGGCCCGGCGTGCTCCGTGGTGCCTGTCTGCCAGGGCGCTGACCCGTGCGGTTTGCGCCTGTCTCGATGGGGAGGAGCGTCTGCGCTGAGGGCCCGCCCGTGACACCGCGCTCCACACTGCCAGGCCGGCTGCGTGCACTTTTCCTACAAGGCCTCCTGCGAGGTGCGCGTGCTCATGCTCCTGTACTCCTCTGAGAAGAAGATCTTCATCGGCCTCATTCCCCACGACCAGAGCAACTTTGTCAACGGCATCCGGCGCGTCATCGCCAATCAGCAGCAGGTCCTGCAGCGGAACCTGGAGCAGGAGCAGCAGCAGCGCGGGGTGAGCGCCGCTGCCGGGGCCTCAGTCCCCTCCCCCCCACCGCACCCCACCCCCCGCTGACTCCTCCCTGGCTTCCTCCCGCGCAGATGGGGGGGTAGGGGCCACCCCGCCGGGCTGGGCCTCTCCAGGAGCCACAGACAGAGGCCTCGCCGAGACTGGTGAGTGGAAGCTGGGCCAAGGACAGGATGGAGCCTAGGAACTGCCTGGGGTTCGGGAAGTTTTGTGACCCTGGCCTTGAGAAGGACCAGAGCAGAGAGGCACGCGCATCCCCCACGGTCCCAGGCCTCCCGGGAAACTCCAGCCCCACTCCCCACCAGGCGGCGACAGGAGCCGGGGCAGGGAGGGCAGGGAGAGGCTCTTCTTGTGCTCGGGGCCCTGGAGCCTCACCTGTCCAGTCCCTCCCACTATGCCCCCTGCCCCCAGGTCAGATGCTTCTGAGCAGAGGCCCGTGGGGACTGCAACTGCCCAGTGAGATGGAGGACAGCGTCCTGAGATATCTCCAAGGACAGTCCCCACCCTTGTACGTTTCCCCAATAAAACATTTTAAAAGCCCTTTGGCCACTGCCCTCTGTCCAGACACGCTGGCTCAGGAGAGGCCAGGCCCCTCCCAACAGCAGCTGTCCTCAGACCCGAGTGCCGTCCCCAGGGGCTGATGGCTAGGCCCACCCCCGAGTGTGGACACGGCTGAGGCCTGGGAGTGTGCATTTCTACCATCCGCAGGAGAGGGGTCACCTCTGAGATCACTGTCAGTCACCTGAGCCAGGAGGGGAAGCTGCAGTTCACAGAGCTGCCAGGTTTGCAAGGTGCTTGCTGGGCCGTGTCTTCCAGGGTCTTTCCACAGCTGGCCGGCTGTTCCTGGGGTCCAGCCCCCAACTCCCGGCGTTGCCAGGCTGCCCTCCTTGCCCTGTGGGTTCCACAAGCCTCACTTAGCTGGAAGCAAACACAAGGCAATGGCAGGCTAGTTCCAGTCCTCTGGCACTGGTGGCATGCGGCAGGCCTGGCCGGGCTCTCAGGCGCCCCTCGCTGCTGCAGGTCCAGGCCGTAGCCCCGGGGTTCAAGTCCAGCGTGCAGAGCACCTCATTTCTCATGGAATCTGAGTTCCAACTCTTGGCCTCAGGTCAGTCTTGCTAAAACTCTGGGCTTGCTCTGCAGCTGGCGGCTGCGTGCAGCGAACTGCACTCGGGCCCTGCCAGCCAGGATGCCCTGGTGCCCATGTGGAGCGCCAGCAGCCGCAGGCTGGAGAAGCCGAAACCCCCGTCCGCGAGAGGCAGTTGTCCCCAAGGTGGGCTGAGGGTTTAGTTTGAGGCAAAGTTGCCAGCAGTGCCTTCCTGGGAGACCGGGCCGGTGGGTCTGTGCTCCCAGCCGGGCTGGGAGCAAAATGCTGGTCAAACATGAAGAAAAACAGCATTTATTGTGGGGTGGGGAGCAGGTGGGGGGTGGGCATTGGCTCAGCCCTCTGAGAACTGGCGGTACAGCCGCTCAAGCTGCGGCGCCACGTGGAGCCGGAATGGGATCTCCAGGACGGCGGAGAAGCCTTCGGCCAGTGTGGGGGCCTCGAGCTGCTTCCTGGTGGCAGAGGGTGGTGGGTGGAGGTGAGGCCCGACGTACAGGCTCAACCTGGCGTCCCTCCCCGCCCGCGGCGCCTACCTATAGCCGTAAATGACGATGTCGGTCACGGGGACGTGAGAGGAGTCCGTCATGTCGCGGAACTGCGGGGGGCGGAGGTCAGGCTGGCCAGGCCGTGGCGGTGGGGTGGGGGTGGTGGGGCGGGATGTGGGGGGGCTGGGGAGGTGGAGGCCGGCTCACCCGGTTGTTGTGGCGCGCCTGCTCCAGGGTGGCGCTGAAGAGGAAGCAGCGGCAGGGGACGCCTGCGTCTCGGGCACACTTGATGTACCTGTGGGGGCTGGGGAAGTGAGGGGCTGGCAAAGGGCCCGGGGCCCACCCTACAGAGGCGGCCCCTGGGACCCCGGTACCTGGCTCGGCTCTGGATGTCCGGGTTCGTGTTGTCAATCACGACCCGTTTCCTTTGCTTCAGGGCCGCCTCGCACGTGGTCACGCAGCGCTGCCACGAGCCCAGAGTGTCCTGGGAGACCCAGAAAGAGTACGCCACGGATGGGAGCCAGGAGACCCAGGGGGACAGAGAACCAGAGAGGAAGACCCAGAGATAGAGGATTAGGGATCCAGGGTAGGGGGGAAAGACAGACAGAGGGGGGCAGGGACATGGAGAGAGGACCTGGGGGCAGGGGGCAGAGCCGGAAAGAGGACAGATGCCGGGCGGGGTGGGGGTGCGGCAGAGACCTAGAGGACAGCTCTTGGGGGTGGGGGCGGAGGGGCTGCGGATGAGGTCCTACCCTGTTCACGTGGACGTATCCGGCCGACACGAGATGCTCCTGGAGGAAGGTGGACTTCCCAGCTGTGAAGGGCGCAGCATTAGTGGGGGCCTGAGAAGTCGGAGCAGAGCTGGGGCTTTTGAGGGGCAGGAGTCTCACCCCCAGGAAATCCCACGGCGACAACCACCTCGGGGTCTGAGCTTAAGAGGGAGCTGGACTCAGGGAGGCAGAGAGGCCCAGAGCAGGAGACGGTCCTCTGGGAGGGGCAGACGGCAGACATGATGAGCGAGACGCCCTCCACATCCCTGCATGTCCCCTACTCTGCCCCCAGCCCGCCCCTCGGGCCTCACCGGGTCAAAGGCTGGGAGCTCGAAGCGGGCCATGGGCCATTTCAGAAAGAACTCCTCTGGTGTGGCGAAGGGCAGGCCCAGGTTGAGGGCAAACTGGGGGCAACGGCACACGTCAGACTGGGTAGTGGCTGGGCTGGGGGGTGGGCAGGGACAGGGTAGAGCGGGCCTCACCAGGCGGTCAGCGCAAGAAAAGTCTTTCTTCTTGCGCCCAGGGGCCCAGTTGGCTGGGCGTCCAGCTGCATCTGGAACACATGGAGTATACAAACCCGTCTCCACCAGGAACCTTGGGGACAGGGGTCCCCAGCCCACCTGCATCAGCCCTGCGGACCCACACATTTCCCCACCCCCAGGCCCTTACCTCCCACAAAGACACTGTCCCCGATGGAGATGGGCACGCCCTCGTTGGCCTGGGGAGGGACAGGTGAAAGACAACAGGCAGTAAGGAACCTATTCACACATCTGTCCCCCCAGGGCACTAACGGGTCCTGCCGGATGCTCAGCTTGGTCTGTGTCCCACATGAGGCCTATCTCTAACCTCTCATGCTCCACACCCAATCCATCAGCTAATCCTGTCGGCCCCGCCCTCCGGCCACTTCTCACCCCCTTTGCCGGCACCACCAATTCGATCCTGGCCACCAGCACGTCTCTAGAATATTCGGTCACTCCTTCCGGGTCTCCCGGCTTCCACTTTCGCCCGTCTGTTCCCCAAGCGGCCGCCAGAGGGCGCAAGTTCCCACTTACCGCGGCTCCGGACGCTCTCCCAATCCTCCCGGTGGCCACCTCGCTGTGGCCCACGAAGCCTGAGAGCCTGACCCCTGCTCTCTGACCTCATACCCCTCACTTTCCCCCTCACCCGCTCAGGTATAGCCACACGGGCCTCCTCACTGCCCATGAGCCCACCAGGCTCGATCCCACCTCAGGACCCTTGCACTTGGCGTTACTCCTACCTGGACCACTCTTCCCTCAGATACACACATGGCTCCCTCCCTCAGCAGCTTTATATCTTTACTCAAGGGCACCTCAGAGAGGATTTCGCTGAGCTCCGTAGATAAACCAACACCCTGCCTTATCCTCACTCTGCTATTTTACACATCTGTCAATGCATTTATAGTCTGCACCCTCCCTGATCTGGCAGCAGGCAGGTTTGTCTTGTTCACTAATATTTTCCGTTCAAGAAGCTGTTGAGCTTCAGAACAAACGCACACCCAAACGAATGAATGGATCCACGAGTGACTTCTCTCTCCACCACTGTTTTTCACAGTTTGTGAGCACCGGCCTCACATATCAACACTAGGACACGATAGCAAAGGAACTGAGAAGGCCAGGCTAGGGTAGGGGATGAGAGGAAGGTCGTGCACCAGAGACCCAGAGTGCGGAGGCAGGGCAGAGAGCAAGGGGCCGCAGAGGGAGGAGAGCCACTGGGAGTCCGAAGCTCACCTGCCCCTGCAGGTGGTCCCACATGCCGACCACCGGCTTCCGGTACAAGCCTGCGTGCGTGGCCACCAGGACCTGTGGGTGGGGCAGAGGTTAGACACCATCCTTGGCTCCTCCTCCAGCACCCAGAGCCCTTCAAGGGCACATGGGTCCCAAGGATGCTACCCCGACGCTCACCAATCCAAGGAGAGCGCCCGGTGCCCTGGAACTTGCCACTTACAATGGGTTTGTCAGCATAACCCCACCTGGGGCCCACACCCCACTCACGCAGGGTCTCTGTTCCCTCTACCTCTCCAACTTGCTCACCATGTCATACCTTCTCCCTGGGTCTCTGTTCCATCTCACTGTTTCTGTTCCCCTCTCTCTGGGTCCCTGTGCCCGCCCCCCTCACCTACGAGGTTCCCCCCGCACCGCCCCCGTCTCAGAGTCTCTGTCCCTCCACATAGCCCTTCAGCCTCCCTTACAGCCTTACCTGAAAGGGGACCCCCAGCTTCTCCACCACAGCCTCCACCTTGGCCTTGAACTCCTCTGCTGGCAGCTTCCCGCGTCCAATGCCCATCTGGTTGGTGAAGATCACCAGCTGGGAAGCGGACAGGTGTCAGCCGGCGCCCTCCTCATCAGGCCCGGACCTGCCCTGTGAACCCGCCACCAAGCGTGCACGCGCACACACACCTTGTAACCCTCGGCGGCCAGTTCACAGAGCTTCTGCGGAATCTCTCGGTACAAGATCCTAGGGCGGGCGTGGAAGAGCAACGTGACGTGAGGCCCGGAGTGCACCTCACCCACCCCCTCCTCCTGTCTCTTATCACCTCCAGTCACTGGGGCCAGTGGGAAAGACCTTCCCAGAACGTGTGGTGATGAGGGTCCCATCCAGATCAAAACCGGCCACCTGGCGTTACCCAGAAGAGAGGAAGAACGGCACTGTTACACCTCTGATCCCCCTCACTCACAGGCTGGTTCACATCAACCCTGCAAGCTGGGGACTATTGCCACCCACCCCTTACAGATGGAGAAACTGAGTCACAGCAGGCCTACACATCTTATGTAAGGACAAGGCACAGCAAAGATGCATCTCGGACACTGAGTTCAGAGAGTGAAATCTTCACTCTACTACCTCCTATTCCTCTGGAGCCCCTCAGTATTCCAATCTTTAAAATGGGTTTCATATCCGACCCAGCCTCTTCCCCTGGCCTTTTTCACCTCGGACGGCTAAGAGCCATGAAAATCCAAACAGGAGCTGAGTTTTGTTTGGGTGTTAACTGCATATAAGGGGCTGTGCTCCCTCAGTGCTCAGCTTGAGCCTCACCTTGCCCCGGGGCTTCACACCAGGTGCCGTGAACACTAGCAGCTTCTGGAAGCTCTCCCAGCCAGGGGATAACTTCCTTATCCGCTTTTTCTGCTGTTCATCCTCTTCCTCCTCCTCCGGGGCCACAGGAGGGGTGCCTGGTGGAGTGTCTGGCTGGGATTCTGGCGTGTGAGCCTCTTCCCAGCGCAGGGTCAGCGGGTGGAGGCCATTGACCAAGTACAGCGTGTCCCCCACCCCCAGAGAACCCTCCAACCCTGGTCTCAGCTCCTGAGTCCCGGCAGTTGAGGGGTTAACTCCCAGCTGTAGAGAGAGAGGGAGGACTGGAACTGGCTCCACCCCCAGCGGCAACCTCCTCCAATCAAATAACCCGGAAAAAGACTCGCCTTTCTCCACCAGCCAATCAAACCCCTAAGTCCCGCCTCCTCACCTTGTACCATCAATCAGGGCTCTGGGAAGGTTATAAGCATCCAGTCTTACCCAATTTAAATGGGGATGGATGTTTACCCCATTGAAACAGGCACACCTGTTCCCCTCCCAGAATCAGATTTTCCCAATTGGGCCTGTTTCCCGCTGGGTAGCGAGTCTCCACACACCCCACCCCCACTCCACCCCCAGGCCCCTTGCTAACGAACTGGTACCTGTTTCACTGCCACCGTCCGAGTCTCAGGGTCAGCAACCAGCTCCACTGAGGATTGAGGGGTGGAGTCAGGATTTGAATCCTTGTGTGACTGCTTCCCTCCTTACTGGGGAGCATGGCCAGCTTCAGACCACAGTATGGGGCTACAGCAGCCATCCGACAGGAGGAAGCAGCTTATTTCTAAGTAGAATTGGCTTCTCCTTGACATGCAGTACCCAGATAAAGGCCTTAACGACTGCCTGTGTCACTGGTCCTCGCCTAGGGGCAGGGCGGGTATTTTTCCGTATAGAATTGGCTTCTCCTTGACAACGCAGACCTTGGCAAGATGCAGGTTCTGGGCTTGGCCCTCTACCACCCATCTCTGCTTAGCAATATGCACTTTTCTCCATAGGATCGGCTCTCTCCTTGACAAGGGTCGTGGCCTGATTCAAGCCTTCCCGGTGGCCTGTGAGTATCCTCTGCCCAGTGACAAAGTGTCTAGGGATTGACTCCATCCGCTCCCGCCCAAGGTGTCTGGCTAGTTCCAGGTCAGGCACAACCTTTTTCTTCCTGGGCTCCCCACATGCCACCTACCAACTTCAGGACTGGTTGCACCACGCAATTCCTGGACTGCCTTTCCCATTGACTGTGTTCCCGCTCCTGAAGCGGACCACACCCCCTCCAGCTCAGGCTCCTCCCTGCCCACCTTGGTTTCTGGAGCACTTCCGGTCGGTAACCTGCGTCAAGGGTCCCCGGCCCAGCACCAGGGCTTGCCCACCCGAGGGCAGGAAGATGGGAGGCGCTCCCCCAGGGGAGCTCTCCAGCCACAGGCGGCCCTGGGCCTCCACCCTGGCCATCCTGGGAGCCGGCCTAAAGGAAAGTAGGTAAATAGGTTTGAGTGGCAGCCCTCAGTTGGTAAAGGAAGTCCCGCCTCCTCTCGCCCTCTACACCAGGAATTCCCTTCATCAGCTAAAGGCTCCGGAAATCCCACCCACTCGCGGGCCTGGGGCTCGCGCCGTTTCCCAGGCGACGACGCCCCACTCCTTCCCTCCGGGACCCTGGACTCCAACTTCCCACGGCAAAGGCCAAGAAACTCTCGCGCACTCGCTTCGGCCCCACGCTCACCCTTGCCCACCGCTTGGTTCACTCGCCGCTTCCGACCAGGGAGGGCCTGCCGGAGGCGCTCTGCTCGCAACCCGGCCGGAAATGACTCGTCCTACCAAAGTGGGCGGGGCATTGGCTCCGCCTGGCCATAAGCCTCGCCCCTTCTCAGACAGTGCTCTTAAGGTCCCTCCGCTGTTCTGACCTTCATCTCTCCTGATGCAGTATGAGACGCTGGCCAGTAGTGGGGGGGTAGATTCCCTGTTCACACATTTTTTCCTCTTTCCACGTTGAACTCTAATTTTCATTCCCTTTGCCGGAGACAGTTATAGCGGGAGGAGATTCTCGTTACGATTATTGTCAGTCGAAGAAACACCGCCCCGACAGCAACCCCACCCTGGATGCTGCAGTTTTCTCATCTACAGTGTGGGGATAATCGTTTCCACTTTGTGGGGTTACTAGGAAGATTAAATGAGTTAGTATATGTAAATAACTTATAAAAGTGTCTGGGTGATAGTTTGCCCTAAGTTTTGTCTGTTGTTAGCATTCCATCGGTGGTGGTCTGATGGGACATGGGGATACCGCGTTTACATCTTCGGACCAGGAGCCATTTGTTCTCTAACCTCCAGCTGTCTTACGTTGGTCAGAAAACTCCCGGCCTCAGCTGGAGGTTCCTGGCTTTCCTGGGCACTATGTGGGCTCAGGAGACTGACTCATTAAACTATTCCGATTCCAACACTCAAAGCCCTGAAGATTGGGACTCCACGATCATACGAGGAAGGAATGGAATCCTTCCTCCCACCCCGTGAACCTCTCTTTTCTTGTCCGTAAAATGGGGACGAGTCCAATTCCCAGCGTTGCACTGAGAAGCAATGAGACGCTGCTAATTTGGCTTCAGAAAATGTTAAATGAATACTCACAACACACCTCAGACTCATTTGTCAGAGGTAAAACTCTTTAATCTCAGAGCGCCCCTCCCAACTCCCGATCCCGACCCCCCACTCTCTCCCCCACACCAGGGCCGGAGAGTGAGGCCCCCTGCCCCCCACCTTGGGTGGACGAGGGCCCTTTAAGGCACCTGTGGGGGTGGGGGGAGAGGGGCGGGAGCTGGTAACGTCCTGGATGCAAGGACGGGTTTGATTGGCAGGCTGTTGTGGGATGGAACCAACGAGAGGGTGTCAGACGCAGGAACAGGATCGGGCCATCCCTGAGGGGGCCAGAGGGACAATTGTCAGGACTTCGGCAAAAGACGACCCCAGCCCCAGTAGTGTAAAGAACGTAAATTTAAGGCCACAGGCCAATCCTGGGCACAGGAAGAGGGTTGGCCACGCCCCCAGAAGTGGAGCCAATCAGGTGGGGGAACTCAGGAAGGGTGATGGCTCTCTTGGGAGATTGGTCAAGCCCTTTACAGTGTTCGAGCCAATCAAGTGAAGGAGCTGCCCATTCACTGTGCTGAAGTCGAGGGCCACTACCCAATCCTGGAGCTTGACTGTGCTCTTTCAGGAATGGAGCCAATGCCGTGCGAGCAAAGCCCTTGTTGCTAGGCAGAAAACGACGAAGTTGGCCAACTAGCCACGTCCCGATCGGGGAGCGAGACAATCCCTTAATAGAAAGAATCTGTCGCTGGGCAGAGAGAAAACAGACCCAATCGGGAAACTGCACAGGCCTCGCTCATCTGCGCGGGAGCGGTCGTGGGCTGGAAGGGAGGCGGGGGTTGGCAGGGGCTGGTCAATCCTGGTGGCCCGGGAGGCCGGTCCCGGATCTGACTCGGATTGGCGGGCCCCGGGGGCGGGGCAGGGGTGTGGTGTCGGGGGTGGGGCGGACGCCGGGCCGGGAAGCTCCCTGGGCCTCAGTATTTCCGCTTCAGCTTCTGGAAGTCGCTGGTGTTGAGCCGTGGCCGCGGCAGGTCCCCGAAGACCTGAGTGTCCTCGGCCTCCCGCAACACCAGCGCGCGCATGCTCGCCGCGATACGGTCCAGGTCCGGCGAGGAGGGCTGCGGGAACGGCGATACGGCCGGGGTCAGAGCCTACACCCTGGGCCCCAGGTCCTCTCCTAGCACTTTTGCCCCTGCGATGCCTACGGCCAGGAAGGCCCTTCACCCTGTCCTGCTCCATTTAGGGCTCTCCCACCCAACTCAAAACACCACATCCTCAAAGAGCCTTCCTGCCCCTCTCCCCGCCATTCTCCGCCTCCTATGTGCACACACAGAGGCCTGTCTCACCGCCGTCCTTCCACATAGTGGAAGTGCTGCCTGTCTGCTGACCATCACGGCTGTGTGCACCCAGAGGGTCTCACGTCTAAGGATCCGGGTTCGGGATTCAGTCAGGTTCTAATCAGGCTTCTGCCACCCACTAGCTGTCAACAGGGATTTTACCTCCTTAGGTTTCAGTCTCCCCTCGGAAAAACGGGGCTCTGAGATAATCAGCACAGTGATTGCTAAAGAAGGGTGAACGACCATGTCACCAGCGCTGTAGAGAAAGGTGCCCTCTCACTGTCAGTCTCCACTGGGGAGGGGTCCTGACACTCTGCCTGCAGCCCCAGCACCTAGCACTACCTCCCTTAAGGCCCCTGTCACCCTGAGCTGGGCCTAACGCCCAGCGGAATGGGAGAGGCCACGAACGAAGCTGGACCCGGGCCCTCTCGGAGGCCAGCCCAGGACCCAGCACTCAGGCCTCAAAGGTTCAGTTAATTGTGTTTCCACCAGTGATAAACAAGGACAGCAGCAGCTGATGGACCCTGCTAGTCTATAAATGAGGACACTGTGAGATGTCATAGGGAGGGGGAAGCATGGGATGCAAGGCCTCCTCCCTGCAAGTCCATAGCTCTTTTCCAGAAGTAAGCTAGGTTCCAATCCCAGCGCTGCCCCTTACGGGCTGAGTCTCAGGAAGTCATGTGTGTTCTCAGTGCCTCAGTTTCCCCTCTGCTTCAGGGAGCTTTAGTGATGGGAGATAAGGACCCACCCAGGCCAGCCCAGGAACTCCATGTGTAGGACAGTGTGAGAGGGAGGAACAGAGGACAAGGGAGGTGGCACAAATTCCAGGAGGGGCCAGGAATATGTGGGGTGAGGGTGGAAGGTGATCTGACCCCTCTGAGCCTCAGTTTCCCAATCTGGAGGGGATACTAAAATACTTGTGCCCTGCGCAGACCACGTCTTCTATAAATGGTACTGTTCCTGGAAATTAGAGGCTGCTTTCTCTACAAGGCACTGGGGCACATTACAAGGCTGTGATAGTTAAAACTGCAGCACTCTAGCCCAAGAGCCAGCCTTATGAGGAGGAGGGGAGGATCAATCCTGAGAAACGTGGCATGCACGTCCGAGGGCTTCCTGGAGGAGACAGCTCTGAGCCCTTCCTGACACCCTCCTCCCCACCTCCCATTTGCCCCTCACCGGCCCGTTCTCCTCATCAGATGACCGAGCTTCTGTCCTCTTCTCCTTGAAGGCCCAGACGGGCACGGACACGGGCAGGGACTTGGCGTACTGCTGTGTGGGCAGGGCTGAGGCTGGGGGCACTGAGTAGGCTGGGGGCCCAGCGGGGGTCTCCTCGCTCAGGCTGCCATCTGGGAGAGAAGGTGGACTTCAGCCTCTGTCTTCAGCTGCCTTCCTCCCAGCTCCCCACCCCCCTCTCCAGGGATGGGGACAGCCTGTGACACTCACCATCCGTGCTCTCAGGGTCTGACTCGCAGAAGGGGGGCAGGTCCTGGAGCGTGGTATCCTCATCCATCACAAAGAGTCCTGTGGATGGAATTAGAGGCCCGGACCAGTTGAGTCCCGCTGGACTCCATGCGCTCTAGACTCCGGCCACTGCCACCGCCTCTCCGTTCCCTGCACTGGCCAGGCCCTTGCAAGCCTCGGGGCTTCTGGAATAATTATTCCCTCTGCCACGAACACCTTTCCTCTGGTTATCTGACTGGCCTTCGGCAGAAATAAATCCAATTTCTCTCTATCTGGTACATCCCCAGGTGAAAGCAACTGGCTGGACGAACATGAAATCTGTAAGATCTGTTTGGGATGAACTGACTCAAAATACAGGCTGAGAGAAATATGAGATGATTATGATCCCCTGTTTGACAAACGGGGACCTGGAGGCACAGAGAGATTAACTCATTTGCGCTTAGTCCCAAATCTAGTAAGTGGTGTCACCAGAATTTGAACCCAGGCCACCTGGCTCCAGAGTCTGTGCCCTTAACCCTATGAGGGTTTCTCCAGGAACAGTGAGGAAGTCAGCCGTTGGTAGTAACAGTAACAAATGAGTAACTACTTATTGAGTCCTCCACCCACCCACTGCTGGAGAACTCCTACTCACTCTTCAAAGCCCTAATGTTATAGCGCAGTCTCTGGGAAGCATCCAACCTCCACGTTTCCCCCAATGCAGCCAGTTGCTTCTTCAGCTGTTGCTTGTACCCCTGACTCCTCTTTAACTCCTGTCTTTGCTCTTACAGGCATTAGGCACCCCAGATTTGGAAACAATTCTGTTCTACTCATGCTCCTGGCTCAGGAGGCTCCCTCCCCCGCCATGGCCTCCACAGGGCACTGCTTCACGTCAGGACTCCAATTCCTTGGCCAGACCCAGAGTCCCTAGAGAAAAGACCCCAAGTTGGCTTTCACTGTGCCCAGCGTCTCCCAGCACAGAACTGGATCCCAGACATGATGGAAGGAAACTGAAGCTCAGAGAAGAGAAATGACTTGCTCAAGGTCACAGAGTGAGTCACAGGCAAGCCTGCAGCTTCCATGAACATTAGGGCTCAGAGACAGGCCAGCTGTACCCTTCCAGAAAAACCCACTGAGGAGGCAACTTACCAGGAACCACCCCCACCCCCGGCCCCTGCCCTTCTCACCTCCATTATCGCTGACACCCAGCCGGTCCCCAGAGGTCTCTGTCTCCGTTGGCTCGTCCTCATCCTCCTCATCTTCCTCCCTGGCCAGGGTAGGCCGGGGTGGGCTCCGTGCAGGGCTGGGCGGCTGCGGTGCTGGTGGGGGCATGGGGGGCCGGGCGGCGGCGGCTGCCCGGTGGGCCAGGGCGATGTCGTGGAGGCAGCGGCGGGCCGCCTCGGCCAGGGCCCCTCGACCATGGGCTGCATAGGCGCAGGGGCCCGGACGGGGGGGCGGGGGGGGCGCAGCCGTCAGCAGCACCAGCTCCGTGCCCGTCCGGGCCCGGAAGCGCTCGGCAGCCCCCACCACGGCCTCCCACAGCTCCTCGGGGCGCCCCGACGCCATCCGCGCCCTGCGGGGCAGAGCACGACACAGTGGGCTGAGGCTTCGCTGACTTCGCCGTCCACACCCAGCCCCGTGTGTCCACCAGTCCCTGGACTCCACCCCCACCCCTCCACCTGATCCCAGCTGAGCTCCGCATCTTCCCCGCAGCCCCATCCCTCGTCCCCGCAGCCCCGCTCTCTCCTCTTGGCCCTGCCCTGTCCAACACGGAAGCCATCAGCTACACGTGACTAGGGAGCACTTGAGATGTAACTGATCCAAAGTGAGAGGTGCCACGAGTGTGAAATCCACACGGGGTTTGCAAGACTTAGCACAAAAAGGCAGGATGTAAGATGTCTCAGGAGCAATCTGACGTTGATTAAATGTTGAAATGATCACATTTATTTACGCTGACTACATAAAATATAGGGTGAAAGTGAATTTCATCTGTTTTCTTTCCACTTTTTTAATGTGACTCATACAAAATTTGAAATTATACAGGTGACTCAGATCATATTTCTGATGGATGGTGCTGCCCTGGACCATTGCCCCAGCCTCCAGTCCAGCTGGCACACAACCCCCCAGGGGGTCCTTCTACCCCTGGAGCTGCCTCTGCTCCTTCCCCGCATCCCCAGGACAAGGTCACAGCCCCTTAGCCCAGCGCTGGAGGGCCTGCCCCCGGCCTCATATCCTTACAGGCTCCTTCAGTCAAGGTGGACCCCCTCTACCTGGACCACTTGTCCTCCATGTACTTGTCACTCCTGCACTCACCCGGAGCTCAGGTTGGCCCCTCCCCACCTGTGAGCTCCCACAATGTCTGAGCGACCCCTTGTAGCACGTATCCCTCTGCGGAGCACTGCCTGGATCCACATCCATTTCCCCAGCCAGTGTGGGCGTCAGATTCATCTCTGAGACACCAGCCTTGCCCAGCACATGGTAGGTCTCAGAGAGCGGGGGTTGAGCAGAAAATGGGGTGCCAGCCGTCCTCTGCCCACAAAGCTCTTGCACTTCCTACAAGACTGTTCCGGCAGGTCCTCTGGAAGTCTTCCCTGACCCGCAGCATGGATCAGATGCCTTCCCTAGACCCACAATGCCCTGGGCTACCTCCACTATAGCTCATGTCACACGAGCTTGTGACAGCTGTACCTCTGGCTGCCTCCTCCATCAGAATATGCGCAACCCGAGTTCAGTGATCTGTGGCCCCAGGATAGGTCAGCCCTGAGCAGACAATCTGCTTGGATGCATCTCCTTACAAGGTGAGAGGAACAAGGGACAAGGGGCCTGGCTTCCTGCCCTGACTGCTGTGTGACCTTGCACCACTGAATGGCCTTCTCTGTGCCTGTCTTCTCCCTGTAAACCAGTGGTTGAGCTAGGCCTGCTGGGCCGCTGAGGAGCCTCCGCAGAGAGGCAGCAAGCTCCCCGTCACTGGAGGGATTCAAGCAGGGCTGTGATCTAGCCCTCTAGGATCATAGAAGTTTGATTTCAATTCGCAGGCCCTTTGTGACTCAAGATCATAGAAGCCAGTGTTTCCTAAGCACCTACTCTGTGCAGGGACTCTGCACCTGTCACCTCCCCTCCTACCTGACCCACAAAGGTGGGAGCTGTTACCTTACATATGAGACAGTTGGAGCTCACCGAGTACAAAGCCCTTGCAGTGAGGCACAACCAGTACCAGCCCTGACAGACCCTGAAGCAGGTTTATACCACACCTCCCACAGGCTAGGCAGGGACCCGAGTGTATCATCAACAATCTCATTCCACCCTCCCACCACCCCTATGAGGGAGGAGCTATGATCACCCCACTTTACAGTTGCAAATGGAGGCCTGGGGAGATTCAATATCTTGCCCGGGGTCATTTAGCTAGAGAGATGGACAGCTGGGACCTGGATCTGGCAACCTGTTCTTAATCCCAAATGCCATCCTGCCTACCTTATGAGGAAAGATTTATGATCTCCTAGTCCAGGTGGGAAAAGTGAGGCTCAGAGAGCTTAAGGCACTGGCCAGAAGGCACACAGCTAGAAAGGGCAGAAGTGGGTGAAACTGCTGTCTGCCTGACTCCAAAACCCAACAGAACTGGGAGCTGCACAGGGTCTCACAGCCACTCCTTGGGTCATCCCCATCTGATGGAGGAAACTGAGGCTCAGGGCAGGGAAATGACTGGTCCAATGTCACAAAGCCTTGTAGTGCTAGGCCAGGGGGCTCTCACTCCCTTGGGACACCAAGATTCAACTCCTTTCTTAGACGACATCTCTAAGAGTAGATCAAACTCCTATAGCTTAGAATAGCTGAAAAGAGTGAAGTGGGAGTGAGTGAGTCATGAGGGTCCCACACACCTCAAAGAGGAGAAGGGCAATTCACGCAGACCTCTCTGCCAAGGCTTGGGAGCTCTCTGGCATCGGTTACCCAACAGGAGAGTTGCCAGGACCAACAGGAGAGTAGCCAAGCCAAGTACCCCACAGGAGAGTTTCCCACCCCTTCAGCTTCCGGAGGAAGTTCTGTATCTTCCAAGGAGCTTAGAGATGGAAGATCGCCCCTCCCCCCAAATGGAGGTGTTTAACATTAGGGAGAGAGGAAGGTAAGACCTGTCCTCCACAGGAGGAGGAAGGGACAGGTAAGGTGATTGGCCTTTTAGGATGAGGTGGGGAGATGAAGTGAGGAAAGTGACTCCAGGAAGAGATGAGGAAAGAGGAAAAGCCCCCCAAGGAATGAGGGATGCTAGCGAAGTCCCCTCCAACCACCTGTCAAACTGGAAGTAAACCCCTCCCCCGCCCCAAGGTGGGAGGAACTCGAGGATGCACCCAGTGGCCGGGGGCAGGTGAATGTCCGGGGTCTTTCTCTACCGCTCAGAGTCCCCACTTCGCCAGGGGGTCCAGGGAAAGACCCACTTCTCTAGGAAGAAAACAGGAAAGCCCGCCCAGGTGGGGGCCAGGACCGGAAGTCCCGCCTTTGGACGGGTGAGGGGTGCCCCGAAGCCCCACCGAGTAACCCCCCGACCCTGTGGACATGGTCCACGGCCAAAGTAAAGATCCTAGTGGGTCTAGAGACCGGAGGATAAGGCTGTCTAAGCGTTGCCTCGGGTCAGACACGACGGTTCCCGCGGGCGACACCTTTCCAGCGCTCAGCGTAGGGTCACTGGGCGATTTCTGCCCTCTGATCTACGCTGGCTATACTCCTCCCGCGAGCGGCTCGCCCTCCCAGCACCCCTCTCCTCCGGACGGCCAAATTCTCCCCACACCGCGGTTCACAACGCCGCCTCCACTCACGTGCCCGTAGCCAGCATGGCCGGCCCGGCACCGTCGCCGCCCTCAAAAGACATGGCGGTGCCTTGCGTCACTTCCGCGTGGTTGGCCCGCCTCCACTCTGCACACTCCGCCTCCCTTATCCCAGCCGCCCGAGACCAACATGGCGGTCACGGGGGCTTCGCCGGATCACAGTGGAGCAATGGCGACGGCAGGGTGCCCATAAGAAAGATGGTGAAAGAAAAGCTTCAGCTTGCTCGGAAACATTTCCCCAAGAAATATGGGGAAAATGCACACGCACACTCAGGATCACAGTATACTAATGCAAGCGACCTAACGTCCCTCCCCCATAATAACCTCTTCCACAGAACTGGTGGAAAGCAGGGCCCGTTAATGACATGGCAACCAGCCTGGCATCATTTGCCCATAATGTATATATGGGCTCTCTCTCCAGCCTATCCCCCTCAGCACCAAGGCTGGCAAAGATCCAACATGGCATCCTTTCTTGCTTCGGTTTGCCCAGCTTCAATATGGCGGCTCAGAACGCTTTCTCTCGACGGTGACTCAGGAATTCGTCTGGGACCGCTTCGTCCCCGGGGATACTGACGGCTTCATCCCGTTAACCCGAATCCTTTGGGGCCTCGTGTGATGTACAGCTCCTCTCACCTTTGTCTTTAACCGTTTCTCTCTTCCAGGACCTTGCTTTCGCGCCCCGCAGAGAAATGGGACTGCCCCGCATTAACATGGCCGCAGCTGACCGGCCTTGCCCCTGCCCTCGAGAAAAATGGCATCTCTTTGGCTTCGATGCCAGTACACAATATGGAGAAAGGAGTAGGACTTTCCAAGCCAGTTTGAGCGAGGGGGTGGAGCTCTTGGACCCGCCCCCTTGTTTACTTCTCCGTTAGGACTGTTTTGCTGCGCCTGCGCACTGGCCGCTCCACCTTTAGCGTCTGTGACGTGACTTGAAACCTCGTGGTTCAAGTTTAACCACCCCATTCTGAAAAATGGTTACACCCATTCCTATTCTAGAACAGATGGGGACGCCACCACTGTCTGGGCTTGAGGGGAGTCTCCTATCCGGATGTGACAGCACGCTGACCCGGAAAAGGAGGGAGCCGGGGCAGTGAGGTCTCGGCCGCGGCTATGGAGGGCGCCGGTTACAGGGTAAGCACTGAAGACGCATTCTTTTGCTTCCGTCTATGCGAAACGCCGCCCTCCGGTGGTCGGCTTCTTTCTCAGGACTTGCAGGGACTCTGGGAGCCCAGCACCTCCTTAACAAGCACACCATTCCCTTAATAAACACGCTGTCACCTTTCCTTCCACTGCCCTAGGGAGACCCATATCATTTAGCCCCGCCCCTTGGGCCTCGCCCAGTTTGGAATGCACTCCCCCTTTCTCCCCACCCCATCCTCCGGAGTGCCAGAGAAGCCTGGCGCTATACAGGCTTCACTCCGGGCCCCATCCCCTAGGTAAATGTACCCTGGGCCCCGCCCCCAAGGTGAATAGCTCCTCCCCCGGGTCTGCTCCCATTGGCTCTCTTTTGATCCCCGCCCCCTGAGTGTCTTCCCACGCTTGGGCCCCGCCCCTCAATGGTTCCCTTTCCTAGGTGGTATTTGAGAAAGGAGGCGTGTACCTGCACACCAGTGCCAAGAAGCACCAAGACCCGGACTCCCTCATCGCCGGCGTCATCCGTGTTGTGGAGAAGGTAGGCCGGGAGAGAGCAGGGCTCGGGCAGGCCTAGAGCGGGAGGGAGGCGGCGTCTGTAGGAGTATAGTGTAGAGCTCAGCAACGGGAGGTTAGGAAGGAGAGGTGGCTTTCTGAGGCTGAGGGTCCAGAACTGGGAGGAAGTTTGGAAATATGGTTTGGGGAGTTTGGAGGGAAGCACTCCCAACCCCTCCTTTTTTCCCTCAGGACAGTGACGTCCTCCTGCACTGGGCTCCTGTAGAGGAGGCTGGAGATTCCACCCAAATCTTATTCTCCAAGAAGGTAGGCTACCTCTGCTTCCCCTTTCCCCACTTGCTTTTTGTCTAGGTCGGGGCAGTGGAAAGCATTTGAAGGACTTGAATACAATTCCAGACCTACCCTAGGAGCATGTGTGGTCCTGGTTGGGACCTAAGTGTTCTCTGTCCCTCACTTTCGTCTCCTCTGTGAAATGGGGCTGAAGATGCCCATTCACGGAGTAGACACTATGAGATTTGTGGCCAGGGGGGTAGCTGCCTGCCTCCTCACCCCCTTTGCTTCTTGGGAGAGCACTGCCAGGGTGCAAGAGGACAGCTCAGCCTGTGGATTCAGGTTCCACGGGCTCTCAGCCCATAAGGACTTGACGGAGTGTGGCATTTTCTCTTGGGCAGTCTTGCCATCGTGTCCAGAGAGGGAGCAAGACCCGACAGAGGCTACTCATCCACTTCGCCAGGATTCCTTCCTTCCCCGGGTACAAGACCTCACCCTTCTCATTTCCAGATGTCTCCTTGTCAGGCCCTTGTGCTGGATGGTGCTGGGACCCAGAGATGAATCCAACCCAGACACTGCTTAAGTCCTCCCTCACCCCTCATTCTGTTTTTGAGAAATTGAGGCACGATGAGAGGAAGCCTCATCCTCTCCTGAGGGCAGAAAAGCTAGGAAGTGCTGGAACTTGGATTTGAACCCAGACATACTGACTCCAGAGCACGCCTCCTTCTGGGGAGCAGACATCTGGGCTAGGACTCTAAAGATGAGAAGCAGGCAAGAATATATTTCAGCGGGGACTTCCCTGGTGGTCTAGTGGTTAAGACTCTGCGCTTGTACTGCATGGGGCATGGGTTCAATCCCTGGTTGGGGAACTAAGATCCCACATGCCACACAGCACGGCCAAAAAAACCCCCAAAAGAATATATTTGAGGGACAGCAGGAAGAAGGGTGTTTCAGGGCAGAACGGAACGTGGGATGTCTCTGTAGAGGGTTTTGCTGGAGAGATAGTTGGGCCTGAACTGCCAGGCTGAGAAGCTTGGACCCTGTCCTGGGGGCCAAGGTTAGCCTTGGGAGGGGAAAGGTATGGGTATGGAAAGCCCCATCTGTGGGGTCATGTGGGAGATGTATGGAAGGACCAAATGGAGGGAGATTGGGGGCTGGGAGGTCGGGGAGGAGGCCAGTGTGACGGGCCAGGAAGAGAGGATGAAGCCTCAGCTGGGGCCATGGGGTTTCAAATGGAGATTCCAGAGCCTCCCCTATGGAAGTTGAAGCAGCAGCAACCAGGATTTTGCATTTTCACCAACGTCACAGGCAGTCTGAGTGCCTTTCTTGAGAATATTGCTGTCTTCCTTGGCGCTCTTATTTTCAAATAACAGAAACCCACTGAGACGGGCATCAATGGGAAGGACACATATAAATTCAGGATACATTCAGCTCCAAGGAACACAAAACTGAGCTGACAACACAGTGAGCAAACAAGTTTGTTTCTTTCACCTCACAAGATTCCAAAAGGTATGAGGCTGCTGTCCTTGGTTAGTGACATCAAGGCTTGGATTGCTGAGAACCTACTGTGCTTGCTCTAGTGGTGTTTAAATGAGCACTTCAGCTGCAGCCATTGCATCTGCCTTTTTTTTTTTTTTTTTTTTTTTTTTTTTTGGCGGTATGCGGGCCTCTCACTGTTGTGGCCTCTCCCGTTGCGGAGCACAGGCTGCGGACGCGCAGGCTCAGCGGCCGTGGCTCCCGGGCCCAGCCGCTCCGCGGTATATGGGATCTTCCCGGAACAGGGCACGAACCCGTGTCTCCTGCATCGGCAGGCGGACTCTCAACCATTGCGCCACCAGGGAAGCCCAGCATCTGCCTTTTAAGGCAGGAAAAAGGAGCCAGCAGGGTACCAATCATATCTGTCCTTTTTATCAGTAAAAACAAGAGGTTTCCCAGAAAGCTTCGCATCAGTTAGGAGTTGCATTTGGTTGTATGTAATAGAAACAGAAATACCAGCGACCTAAACAATGTAACAGCTCATTTCTTTTTACAAAGCCCAGAAGTCAGCAGTATAGGTTCATATGTTATCAATGACTCAGCTTCCTTCCAACTTTGCTCTGTAATCCTCAGCATGTGGCATCCATCCTCAACATGTGGCATCTGTCCTTAAGGCTGCCTTCTGGTCCAGAAGGGCTGCTGGAGCTCCAGCCTTTTTAACTGTTTTTGTTGACTCTACATGTGTATCTCAGGTTGGCAAAAGAGCTCTGCTCATCATGATTACTCAAGGAAGCATGCTGCTAGAGCAGCCAGCATCTTAAAGGTCTCATTCCTTGTGGCAGAGGGGAAGAGATCTCTAGAAGTTTTTCCCTGGAAGTTAAACAGTCCATCTTGGAAGTGATATATCCCAGCCCTTTGGCCAGAACGAGTTGCATGTCTCCACTCAGCCAGTAGAGTTCAATGAGTTGTAATCCTACTGTATGCCCGAGGGGTGGAGAGCTGCAAACATTTGACAGACAACACACTAATTATCATTATTTTGTGTAAACACTGGCAAAATTATCAAATTCTTCATGTCACAAAACAGGGAGGGCACAGATGGCTTTGCCAGGGGCTGGTTTGGCAGCTTGTGGACAGGTGTCCCTGCCATTCCTTGGTCTTCCTTTCATGGTCCTGGTTGGCTGCCACAGTTCCAAACACCATGTCCTCCCTTGACAGCACATAGAGGCTAACCTGAATAGGGTGCCTTTTTATCAGGAATTCCCTTCTTCAAACTCCCCACGGGTGTACCCTCAGCTTCCACTGGCCAGAGTTGGGTCCCTAGGCCATTCAGAAATGCAGGGAAGGCTGGGAAAGTGGATATTGGGATAGTTCAGCTTGTGTTGTGGGAGTGGCTTGTCAGTCTGGAATATCCAGCAGAAATGACTGTTGGGTAGACCCACAGTCTGAGTCCTCCTAATCATGCAGGGTTTTACTGCAGGAGTCACAAAACACTCCAGTTACTTTAAGCAGCAAGGGGTTAAATGCAAAGACGTGGAGGCTTACAGAATTTTTACAAAAGCTAGAGGAATAGGACTGACACTGCAGAACTGACCTGCCAGGGGAGCTGCGATCCGCTGAGGGCAGGGCTGTAGGGAATGGGACTGTCATT